ACAGTTAGGCTAAGATAAAACTGTACCATAGTTAGGCCAAGATAAAACTGTACCACAGTCAGGCCAAAAAACTGTACCACAGTCAGGCCAAGATAAAACTGTACCACAGTCAGGCCAAGATAAAACTGTACATCAGTTAGGCCAAGATAAAACTGTACCACAGTTAGGCTAAGATAAAACTGTACCACAGTTAGGCTATGATAAAACTGTACCATAGTTAGGCCAAGATAAAACTGTACCACAGTAAGGCCAATATAAAACTGTACATCAGTTAGGCCAAGATAAAACTGTACATCAGTTAGGCCAAGATAAAACTGTACCACAGTCAGGCCAAGATAAACCTGTACCACAGTTAGGCTAAGATAAAACTGTAACATAGTTAGGCCAAGATAAAACTGTATCACAGTTAGGCCAATATAAAACTGTACCAGTTAGGCCAAGGTAAAACTGTTCCACAGTAAGGCCAAGACAAGAGGCCCAGAGGGCCTGTAACGCTCACCTGAATATTTAAGCAGTCATAGAAAAATACTCTCATTAAATATTATATTGCACTAAAAATATTTCCCGCACAAACTTTGTCGGCTCCATCAGGACAACAGACGGACGCCGCCCCCCCCGACATAAGATGATCAGCTAGCTCAATCTGTAAGAGCAATAGTGTAACAATCTGAATTCCAGGATTCTAATTTCAGTCTAACCCCACACAATGTTTAACTCGGAATACTTGTAAATTTAACAAATACCTTTTCATGAAAAAAACTTGAAATTGCTTATACCTATGTATTTTGCGTACCCCCCACTTTGGGTATTAAATTTCTGAAAAAAAGTGCGCAAATTACATGGGTTTTTACGATATGTAATTTGGTTATTTCATCTTCATTATTAGGTCACCTGAGCTTTGCTCAAGTGACCTATTCCAATCGCTTTTCGTCCGTCGTCGTCCGTCGTGCGTCGTGCGTAAACTTTTACATTTTCAACTTCTTCTCAAGAACCAGTGGATGGATTTTTTTCAAACTTGGTCAGAATCATCCTTGGTAGATGAGGCTTCAAAATTGTAAAATTGGGATTCCTACCCCAACCCCTGGGGCCAGGGCGGGGCCCCAAAGGGAAAATTA